TTTTCTCTCCAAAGTTCTCTGACAGGGAAGAGGATTTTGTAAAATGCGCGTACCGCCCCCCCCCCCCCCCCCCGCCCAATCAAATAAGAAGGCATGGTCTTCTCTTCTGAAAATTTATATCGTTTTTCCAACGGTGACCTTCTAATATGAACTTAAGTTTTTATTAAAAGCTTGTTGTAAAATCAAGGAGTTTAGGATAAACTTCTAGTCTCTAAAGGGACAAATTTCATATTCCAGTGCTGTAAGATTCACTGAATCCGAGAGAAAGTAGTGTTTTTAATAATGAACACTTAGCTTTTTACTCAAAAACTATTCTTCTAAATGCTAAAACCTCAAAGCTATCCTGGATTTATGAAAACCTTTTTGAAAAATTCGTGATCTTCTTTTATGTCGAGCGAAACATTGAGGTAGGTGTGGCCTTTTATTTTAGGCTGGCGTTCTAATTTGGGAAGAGTTACATTAACTTCGACTTTGTGGTATTTGTTAATTTGTTTTTGTAAAATTTAAAAAATTGATTTTTAATTCTCTTTTTTTCCTATGGATTTCTAGTCATTAAACAATAATTCTAATTTCGACTAGACGAAATTAGAATTCTAATTTCGTCCATAGTCAGTTTAGTCGAACTTGGAATTCTACTTTAGTCCAGACGAAGCTAGAATTCCAATTTCGGCTGGACGAATTCGGAATCGGGCTGAATTCCAACTTCGGCCACAACATATATATATAAAGAAATAGAAGATAATGTGACACAATGTAGCAGATATCAATTTCTCTTTGTAAGTCATTTCTAGGCATTGATGCATTTTGGAGTATAAATAGACGGTCTAGTATTGATTTCTTTACTAGTCTGCTTTCAAACGTTAAAGTCAACAGTAGAATTAACTTTATCTATATCGTTTTACCAAACAAAATGATTTGGGTATGTTAGTCTACTATTTCCAGTTCATCTTTTTTATTATTTAAATTGATTTATATGAATAGATTTCATTGATCTGTTTCCTAACTTGGTCGACTTCAGCTTTTGATCAATCTTGTAAATTTGAGGAAAAAAACATCCTATCGTAGATCTTTTTTTTAAATCGAATATTTTCTTTCAGCATACGAAGTTGGCTATGGACCCACAATTATGCCACAAGGACCACATTTTTTGACTGCAATCCGTAATCAAACTATTCCACAACCATTATTACCAATACTTCCCATTGCTACACAGTGATATGGACAACCACAATCACAAACTAATGAATGGTCTTCAATGTAATTTAAACAAAAATTTATTTTTTATTAAAAATATTAACTTATTTTATTGTTTACTGAATATTTAGTTTTATACAACAAGAGGCTCTAATTCAACAAAAACTTCAAGCAGTTTATGGGTAAATGTTTTAGTAGAGAAAATTTCCTATTAAAAAGAAACTAACTTTCTTTTTCTTAGACCAGTACCGGTTGTTTCGACATTATCTGTCCAAAGCTATGGTCACGTTAGTGAAGGTTATGGAGTCATGCCTCGTGTTCCACAACTCGATGAAAAATTACAATCAACGGCACAAACATCAAAAATGAGATCAGCTGATACAATTTTAAAATTCTTCATCTTATAAAATATAACTTTTTGAACTTTTAGATCGTCTTTGTCATGGCCAAAAACCAGAAACAATTATTCCATTGAAATAAGGTCGTAAATATGTTGTCTGTTTTGATAATGGCAAAGGTGTTGAATAAAAATGTCCAAGAGATCTTTACTATCGTAAAACGTCACGACGATGTGAACACCGTATGTCTTTTAAAATCAATTTTCTTTATCAAAAAAGAAAAAAAAAAAACTTTATTTCATATAGAATTTATGGTCCTCCAATGGAAGATCTGTGTCTCTCAGCCATGTTTGAATAATGATCAATGCGTTATAACTGATTTCTCACATCAATGTCAATGTGCATCAGGTTTCGATGGTCGAAACTGTGAATTAGATGCTCGTATCTGTCATACTCAACAACCATGTGGACAATCATCAGGTACTCGATGTCAATCATTTCGATTGGGTGCTGCTCTTCCACATATTTGCATTTTTCGAAGCGGTTTAGCTTATGGTTTAAATGCACAACAAGGTTCATATTTATTTATTTATTTCAAGGAAAAAACAATTTAAAATTTCTTTTTAATTTCTTTAAGTTCAGCCAAATTCATGCCAAGTTGTTAATGGTCCACGTGCATTAACTGTTACTAATAATGGTTTCATTTTATGTGATGGTGAACGTATGTTTATTGAGTTATGTCCAGGTGGTACTATTTGAGATGATCGTAATAAAACTTGTGCTTGACCTGATAATGTAACTGATGTTTCGAAATCTGGTCAATCATAAGGTTTGTTTATTTCTTTTAATTTTTTTAAAGTAAGCTTTTCTTTTCAGATATCAAAAATTCATCATATGACGAACAGCATACAATGACTAAAACAACATATAATTTTCAAGCTAATTTGCCAAAATTCTTTTAATCATATGGTATTCAACATAAATGAGAAGATTTATTTTCAGTGAAACAATCATCAAATTATTAAATAAATAACAAGATCAGTACTAAAAATTGAATCAATCATTTTCTGATTTTATTTTCTCGTTATACTTGTTCATATTGACCATTAATTATTTTTTTAAATTCTTTTCTCTCTTATTTCAGCATTATTGTCATATAATTCTCTTTTTCTAGAACTTCCTTTCTTGTTCCATTTTTAACAAGTAAAATAAAGTCCACCTTGAATATGTCTCTATTTTCTATTATTCAATAAAAAAATTCATTATAACAATTGTCTTTACTAATTTATATGTTAGAGTTGATTTTAAAATGTGAAGTAGTAGATATTTATTTATATGATAAATATCATGTTCATTGAATAGATAAAATTGAGTAAACCGAACGAATATTGAACAAAGACATAACAATAGTGAACAGGATGTGGGTCTGAGTATCCTCTTTACATTTACATCGTTTATTATTAAATATTATGATCGTACAACAATTATTAAGATGTTCTTTATTAAATTCGCATCGAAAAATTTCTACTAATCGAAAGTCATTTATTATCGGTTATTGCAAAGCAATTTTTTCGTTTCTACAACTTAAAGTTAAATACGACATATACGTATAGATATTTTTCAATACAGTGAAACCGTTCAAATATGAACACCATTGAGATCGGCCAGACGTGCTTATTGTTGGAAGGTTTTTATTTTCGTTTTTTTCAATCTATAACTAACTATTCAGTTATAGTCGCTTTTCGACTACGCACAAGATGATCTTTTTCTTATTTCCTACAACTAATTGAATCAGCTTGTTTAATCAGAGTTAAATTAACATATGCTGGCATGATTTTATGTTACTAGCTATTAACACAAAAAAATGACGAGATTTTACACTAAGTACTGTTGCTGCTGTCTAATATTGGTTGTGTTCTTTTAATATGCACGATTAGTCTATTCCATTTTTATATGTGTTCCATGATTGTTTATCATAGCGCAATACAAATAACATCATTTTCTTCTCATACCACACGTGATTAATAGAACATACTTTATTCACATTACAGAGGTTGTTATTGTTCATAGGACCAGAAATAAATACTCATTGTTCAGAATAACGAGTTGCTTTTTATAGAAAGACCTTATTATAGATACAAATGAATAAAAAAAGAACATCATAATGTATACTTACTTGGTAGACAAAATAATCAATTAGACTTGAGAATGCCGATTGAATAGTTCGGTTATCATTTTCATCTCTAACAAGAAACATTTGCTGATAGACTTAAACAGAAAAATAACATAGCATTATCTACTGTTAACATTCACAGGAAGAATTTCATAGAAAAATATAGATTTATCAGTATCTATAGATATTCAAGGATATAGTGGAAGTTCATCACCAACTTTAATCAATAAAACATTCGTTAGATATTACTCTTGAGTATAAGCTAAGTTAGCTGTCCCTGAAAACCGAACGTTTATATTCGTAATACAGAATAAATATAAAAGAATTCTCTGAAGACAAGAACTATTTATGAATTTGTGCCAATTTACCGACAGGAAAAGGATTTCGAATTATAGTTTTTATTTAAAATATTAACTTTCGAGAAGGAACAAATTTACGTTAACATTAATTACGAGTAAACACATTAAATACAAATAAAAGTTTAGTGCGAAGATGCAAAATGTTGGCATACTGTTTGAGATTTTCTAAAATAAAATCTTGAATAATAATTGCCATGCAATAGATCATTCGACGGTTTATTGACCGCATTTTGTAGTTCACATTGTAATTTTTGGATTCTGTTTTCATATTTTGTCTCTATATAAGATTCCATATCATTAGCTCATCAGCATTAAAATAAGAACTATTATCTGACCATTGAGTGACCTGTTAATAAATGTTATTCAAGAATTTATTAAATAAATCCTTAGATAATATATCAACATTTGGTATTTTGTATGAAATTTTTTTTTATTCTAAGCGTCTACTATTCATAAATGCTAACGTAAATTTGTTCTATCTAGAAGCTATATCTTTTAAATGAAAAATAATATTCGAAATCATTTTATTGTTGATAGAATGATTTTAAAAAAATTTAAATCTGTCTTGACTATCATGCATTTATAATTAAATTATATTCGCATCGATCAAGCAAAAAATAAACAGGATAATTTATTGTTGATTGATGAAGCCAATCATTATAGATTTTCATTTTTTTATTTTGTTTTAAATGAATTTTCAAGTAATTATTTGAGAAAGTTTATAATCATTCGGAGAGAAGTCATCAGTCATATTCTTTAGACGATCATATCGATAAAAAAACATAACAAAAAGTGCATAGAAATCGTTTCAAAGTTTAGTAGAATGATGTTAATTAGATTTAAGTTCATAAAAGAACTTCAGTTCAAATTAAATGAATCAATAAGACCTTTTTTTTTGTTATCATGAATTATAGATTGATATAGATTACAGAAAGTTTAATAAACTTTTATTGAAATAATCAATGGCGACATCTTTAGGATGAAATCCTCGTGATTTATTATTGACAGAAAAAAAACAGAATATAGGATTAAATCATTCTTAATTAGTTTACTCTTTTTAAACAAAATCAAAGTTTAGATGAAATTAAATAAAACAAAAAGATAGTTCAATGGATCATTTAAAGACGAATAACATATTATTTTGTTCTATAGCTTTCAATACTCGTTCCACGAGTGGATTACGAGTTTTTTATTTTTATTTTTTTTTATTTAGTAGATCTTGTTTGTATTCAACTAGGTTTTTTTTTCTAGTTTTCTTAAAAGATTTTATTTAATTAATTTTTTAAATTTTATTTGATAAAAAAAATCTTTTTAAGATTTTTGAAAATGATGTTGAGTCGCTCTGCATATAATAATGCAGTACTTCGTTGTGCTACATTTTCTTTGCGTATGCTTAAACGGCCTTCATCATCGTATAACCAAGCTGTTCCTTTTATTTATAAATCACAAAAAAGAACAAGTAATTTTTCAATCTCATCAATAAACAATTCCACAACGGTAAACTTTTTATTTAAAAAAATTATATTTATTTAAATATTGATGTTTAGCATTTTGGTCATCGTTCATTTTCACTATCATTATCTCGAGCATCATCTCTCGTTCAATTTAAATTAGCTGATATTGGTGAAGGTATACGTGAAGTTGAAGTTAAAGAATGGTTGGTTAATTCATATTAAGCTTTCTATCTAAAATTTTCTTTTAAATAAAAAAAAACCAAATTCTTTAGGTATACAAAAGTCGGTGATTATGTTAAACAATTTGATAAAATTTGCGAAGTTCAATCTGATAAAGCAAATGTAACAATAACATCTCGTTATGATGGAACAATAGCTAAGCTTTATTATAATGTTGGTGACACAGCTATCGTTGGTGAACCACTTGTTGATATTAAACTTGACCAAGAAGTTGATGTACCAGCTGCAACTAAAAGTAAATAGTTAAATTTTTAAATAAATTAATTCAAAATTTAGTCTTTTGTTTTTGTATTAAGCTGCGACTGTTACTCCTGAAGAACCAGTGGATACTGTAGCATCAACTAAAACACCGTCATCAAATCTTTTAGCTACACCAGCGGTTAGAAGATTGGCTAAAGAATTACAAGTAAATAAAGAAAAATTTTATTTTTCATTTTAATGATATTTTTTTTTTTTGATTAAATTAGATTTCATTAGATGATGTTCAAGGTACAGGAAAAGATGGAAGAATCCTCAAAGAAGATTTATTAAATTATAAATCTGGAACATCAACACCATCAAAATCTGCTGCTTCAATTAGTTGGTTTTATTCACTAAGAAAGAAAAGACTTAAATAATTGATTTTTTCTTAATTTTTTAAAAGGTTCCCCATCATCATCACCACCACTGCCACCATCACCACCCACACCATCACCAGTAGCAGTGAAACAAACTCCAACAATAAAAATTCAACCACCATCAACAACTCCAGTGGCAGATCGAAATGAACCAATAAAAGGTATTCGTAAAGCAATGGTTAAAACAATGACTCAAGCGAATGCTGTACCACATTTTACATATTCGGATGAATACGATATGACACAATTAGTTAAATTAAGAAAACAATTAAAAAAACAAAATAAAGATATTAAAATGTCTTACTTACCATTCATAATTAAAGCATGTTCACAAGCGTTACATAATTATTCAATTCTTAATGCACATGTGGATTCGAAATGTGAAAATATTACATATAAAGTATGATTTAAAACAAAAAAACAAATATACTTATATGTTCTGTTTTTTCTTAAATAAAAAATTTTATTAAAAGGGCTCCCATAATATTGGTATTGCAATGGATACAAAAGATGGATTGTTAGTACCGAATATTAAAAATGTTCAACAATTATCAATAAATCAAATTTCCAATGAACTTAGTCGTCTTCAACAGCTTGGAAAAGCCGGAAAATTATCAACAGATGATCTGACAGGAGGAACTTTTTCATTATCGAATATTGGAGTTGTAAGAGATGTTTTTATTTTATTTAAATTATTAGATGTGTTACAAAACAAAACTGATTATATAGATTATTCTAAAACGATTTTACTACTATTTATTTACAGTAGCAGCCATCACTGAAGAATAGATTCATACTAAGGGGTTCACCAAGCTCTATTTCTAATCAAAATATTAGGGAAAAAGATTGAATTCTATATACTTTTTACTCGATAGTAGAACTTCATACGGCTACTGTAGAGTAAGTTGATGAACGTGCTATGATTAGTAAACATGCAAAATTCTAAAGATTAAGGGAGGAAAGGCTTGTAATAACATTTTTTTTACTAAGACTTTGAAAGACAAGTGCAAAATATAAATAAAATTTACTCTGTTTGTCTGATAAAACTGAAAATTTTCGATTATTAGGGAGATGATATAAACTCTGGCTACTTTTTTATTCAGATATCCGCATCTGAAGGGGTGATTTAAAAGTTCCTCACAACGAACATCTATTTTTGGAAGCATAAACACATAGTATGTAGCATAATAACCTCGAGCTCCGGAAGGACACCGCCCCCACGCTGAATAAAATACTGACTTCGACATAGTTTCTTGGTCGCGTGACTGCTGGCTATGATCGTATAGTAATGACTGAGTTTTTGTTTTAATGAGAGAGTCTTTTTTTTTTATATCCGATAGCCACAGAGCTGTCCTACGCTCATGTGATGTTTCAAAAGTCTCTATGGAACGTATATTTGTGCATTTCATTATTCTTGATGAACTGGGAAAATATCAAACAAATGATTTTGTGCTTTCGAAACGTGCTTACTAAGTAAAACAAAAAAACGTACGAAACTCGTAAGCATGAATAAAAGAGTGCGACAACTCCCTATATCTCTGTTTGATAATATCCTTTTTCTTTTAAGTAAAAGATGTAAAAACTGTGTCGAGCCTGATGATGCACGTATAAAAAAAATCAAACAATAAAGATATACGATTCTCTGTCATTTACATGAAATGTATGATTGTTTTTTTGAGTATTGTTTTAACTAAAATATTACATAAAAACTGACAATTATGAAAGCTATCTAAGTAGAATTTCATTATTTGATTTCTCTATATATGTATGTCAAAAGCTTGAAAATTCAATTAAACATTCTGTACTTTCAAAAGAAATAAAAACCTTTTAATAAAACATACTATCCAATGAAATGTTAAATATAATCAAAAGATTATAAAGTCTTCATTTCTACGAACAAATATCACACATATTAAATAAATTTACTACTTCAAATTGTAGTAAAAATTTTTAGTTCCGTTCAAATGATGATAAATTCTTTCTTCGTTAATTATTTATCTTTGTGATAGATACACCTACCGGCATTGTTTTATTAAATGTTCCTATAAAAAGCATGTTAATAGGATCAAATTTCACCATTAAAAAACTCTTTGAATTAGCCATTATATGGAAAATGACAGGATGATCTGAAAAGATTTATTATATAATGATAGAATAATAATTTAAAAAAGTCATATGACAAAATCTAGACATAAAAAAAAGTAAAAATTGAAAAAAAAAACAACTCATAAAGAAAATAATGAAGTTTGTCCATATGAAAAAACTGAATAATTAGCTAATGAATTTACTTTTGAAACATTCTTTAGAAAGTCGAAATTTAAATCTGGGAATCAAAAGTTTAAATTGAAATTTTATAATTTACATAGATTGGTGGAACATATGCGGTACCTGTTCTTCTTTTACCTGAAGTAGCCATTGGTGCACTTGGTAAAATAGTGGTAAGATAATTATTTAGTTTTTCTTTTTAATTTTCTTTCTGAATGTTCTATTTATTTTCATATATAGCGACGAGTAGTTCCAGATGAAGAAGATGATGAAGGTTCTTCATCAAGTTCAAGTGATGATGAATATTGTTCATGTCGCGTTCGTTCAATGATGTCCGTTAGTTGGTCAGCTGATCATCGTGTTATCGATGGAGCTACAATGGCTCGATTTTCTAATGAACTTAAATATTTACTTGAAAATCCACTTCAACTTCTTATAAACCAATAACTTACGTTCTTTTCTTTTTTTTTAACAGTATTCTGTTCTCAATACAGATATATATTTTTCCCCCCGTATTCGTTGCTGAAAACCTTAATTTTGTCTTCTTCTTTTTTCTAGATAAATTTATTTGAAAAATTTCTCAATGGTCGATATATTTAAATCGGCCATCGATGCAGCATTTGGCGCTGGATCAAGTGCTCGTATATCAAATAATATGGGATTTGCTAGTGGATCATCAACAACCGTGAGTGGAGGAGTTAAAAGTGATTTTACTGGACAAATTGTTGATGTTGGAAATATTCGATTGAAAGTTGGAAATCAAATAGCTGAAGGTTAATTGATGTTAAAATAAGAATCTTTTCATTCATTTACTTTTGTTTTTTTTTCTTAGGCGGTTATGCATTAGTTTTTATTGCTTATGATGTCAAAACTAATAAAGAATATGCATTAAAAGTAAAAAAAAAATTATTTATAAAACAATAGCACAAAAAATCATTTTATTTTATTTCAGAGATTATTTGCTGCAGATGATAGTGCAAAAAAAGCTATTGCTCAAGAAATATCATTCCTTGTATGTTTTTTTTAAATTCATTCAAGGATAGGAACGCGTAAAAGCTATTTTTGGTTTCTTCAGTTTTCTTCGATTTATAACTTTTTTTAAGCGGAATTTCACGAGGTATTATTTGATAGCACAAAGTAAAACTATTTCGAAAGCGTCCAGGGAGGAGAGGGAACGGGGTAATGAAGCATATAAATTTTCCCATAGTAAGACACTTCAAATCGAAAACTATCTCAATCAACTACTCATCTTACAGTTTACCTTTGAGGAGAATTTCATCTCGAATGATTGAAGTGTCTCTGAGTGCTAATATAAATATTGTTCTGAACGAACATCACAATCATTTGCTGATATTATCGCCTGTATGAACTTTTTTTCTAAATATTTTGAGAAAGAAAAAAATAACAATATGGACTTGTGATCAATTCTAACAACTTGAAGGAACGACTAAAAAACTTTAATTATTTTCAGATCTTTTTAGCGATTAACTTGAATTTCGTTTAGACAGCATTTTTTTGCATTTTAGGCTATTATTTAACATATTTCAATCAGAAGGAGTACCGTTTGAGTCAAAATTAACAGCACATGTGAAATCTTCATATAAAACTAAGTTACTTGGTATCCCTTTCAAAGTTTTGCATTGAATTTTTTTTCTTGAAAAATTCAACCGGGATATCACGGAGAGATTCAACTAAAAAATAATTTTAATTAGAAAACCATTTGAACAGTAAATAACAAGTTTTAAACTTTTAGAATATTACTAGAAGACAAAAGGACAGATAATTAACCAATAAAAAAAAACTGCATAGATTAAATTCATTTTTAGACTGATCCCTGAAGGCTACTGCAATTAAATTGTTCAAGGAAAACAAAGTTTAGTGCAAAACTTCGAAACACATTAAACGATCCCTCATGGAATTCTGCATTAAAACACAGTTATAAAATGATGAAAATCGATGAGAACCAAATAATGGTTCTTATCTGCTTGTGTTCTTTCGTTGTTTATTATTTCTTTTATTGTATGTTTATCTTTAGCAAAAATTAAATGGACATTCAAATATAGTTCCATATATTGCAGCTGCATCAAATCAAGATACAACATTACGTCGCACAGAATATCTTCTTGTTACAGAATATTGTTCAGGTGGTCGATTATATGAAAGAGTTGTATATCGTAAAACTCCATTAGAAGTTGAACAAGTTATACAAATTTATTATCAAATTTGTCGAGCAGTTAAACATATGCATGAACAACAACCTCCGATAATACATCGAGATTTAAAAGTTGAAAATTGTCTTTTAACATCAAAAGGTTTTATTCAGTTATGTGATTTTGGTTCAGCAACTACGAAAGTTTTTCTACCGGATGAAACTTGGTCAGTTAAAAAAAGAGATTATGTTGAAGATGAAATGAGTAAAGTAACAACACCAATGTATAGAGCACCGGAAATGTTAGATACATATAATAATTATCCAATTAATGAACAAGTTGATATTTGGGTATTAAAAATTAAAATTTTTTAAAATTTTCTTTTTTCTTACAATTTTATGATATTTTAGGCACTTGGTTGTCTTTTGTATTATTTATGTTTTATTAATCATCCATTTGAAGATTCAGCTAAATTAAGAATTCTTAATGCAAAATATACAATACCAGCTAATAATACGAGATATACTGTACTTCATGATCTTATACGTAAGTTTATTTTGAGAAATAATAATATTCATCATGATCAACCATTGATCTTTCACAAATGAAGAGAGTTCGAACTCAAGAACAAAGAAAGCTGAGTCTACTATTGAAAAAAGACACGATCGATAGTGTTTGAGACGGATGTGTGCCTATTCTTCAGGAGTGTTGATGAATGTTTCAGACACACGAAACCTTGCTTAAAGTAAACAACTCGAAAGTCTATGTGAAAGATCCTTGGAAAAAATATCTGTAAATAAATATCAATTAGTAAAAAAAATCTTCCATTAGATATTAATCAATAGTATACGAAATACTTTTTTAACATATGACCTTCATACAAATATTACATGTCTCCAAATCAATATAAATCGTTTACAAATCATCTGTATTTATCATGAAATCGGTAATAAAACTCGCTTTTATTAGTGTAGTTTGCGTGCTTATATTAGCTAATTTTCGTAATAAAAGGCGACATATTGAGGTAGAGATCAACAAGCTCTATCGAACACACACTCATTTTGAGCATAGTTTGATTTAATTATTGCATCTGTTTTGTAGAAATACTATATTACGAGAATCTCATGAGTATTTCAACTAAACACAAAACGAAATATGATCAGAGATAAAGATAAAACTCATGTATAAAGCAATTTCAAAGGTCATAGAGATAAAAATCATATTATTATATCTGTTCATTCTGCAGATTCGGAAAAATTTTGTTTGTTTTTCTTAAACTCAACGAAGATCATTAGACATTTCAAAGTGCAAAGTGCAAAACTCAAAAGAAAAAAAGTCATGAATAAGATGCAGCATACAGTATGACTAAAGTAAATAGAAAGCATAAAAATGTACTTAAAATTTTGTTTTTTGATATACTTATGTGAATCGAGCAAGGAAGTAAAGAACTTCTGTGAAAAAAACATGAAATCATATAAATTTTTATCTCAAAGATCAGAGCAAGCTCTACATTTTTATTTTTTTATTTTGCTGATCAAATAATGACATGGTTAAACGAACTTCTTGTTCAACAAGAAAGTATGTATTTTTCGTTGCATAGTCAACAACTAACTTCCAGAAGAAATATTTTTTGTTGAGAGATTTAACTGTTAATCAAGAGTAAATAATCTGCAGAATAAAAAAAAACTTTCTGACCCTACTAAAAGATCTGTATACCATTCCATTAACTTAAATGTTCGATTTCAATTTGATCGCGCATTTTGTCTAAAGTGTACAGTCAAATGAAGTTAATGGAGAAATACGTACATTTTTTATTTGAACTTAGACAATTTTTTTATTCTGGTGCTTATCTCTAGCGACGAATGGAATATAATAAAGACGGAATGAAAACAAAAACAACATTTTTGTTAATACAGAAGGCAAGAATAAACGAAGCATATGTCATTACTGAGAATGTCTCTATGGAACAGATCAAATGTTCATAGAATAAAAGATAATCTCTTTCGAAATTTTGGACAGTTATGTGATTTAACTAGTGATAAAACTCAAAACAAAGATTAATCCTCTGATCAATGTTAGGTCATTTTTAAACCCTTCGTAGTCAGTAACATGAATAATGACTTTTCTAGAATTATTGTATTTTCGATATTAACCCATAAAGAACTCAATCTTCATGCCTAAAACTTTATTAGAGCTTATTGACAATCAAAAAGCATTTCGCAGTCATTTTTAACTAACTTCTTATCGATAAAAGATAGAAACCTGCAGTTTCTGTTATGATTTTCCTTCTGGACGAGACTTTAACAATAGGAATGGGTAATTTCGGACCAGAATTGAAACCAATGATTTCATATTATAAATGCAAGTGTCTAACCATATGTCATCTTCCGAGACAAATCATTTTTTTCAAATAATTCATTATAAGTAGATTTTCAGCTTAAAACAGATAAAATAACAACATGACTACGAAAAATAGTAGAAAAATCAAATGAACAATAATGTCAATTCTTATTTAATTCAAAACGAATGACACATTTTAACTCATTCTACATTTCCATAGTGAAATGACTTCACCCAAATTTATTCATATCGGTGTTATATTCAGCACCTGTATAAGCCTATTCCCTTGGTTGACTTAACACTAACTCCACGGGATTAGTATCAGAAGATAACGGATTAAATAATATCAAATCAAACAGCTAAAACGGCAAGAAGCACTTACATATATTTTATGTAGGATTCTAGTAGTTAGATAATATCATTAAAATTTCTCAAAAAGACTATCTTATGATTGTTCAATGATCGTAATATTGAATATGATAAATCGATTAAATAATAAAAATATTTGTTTAGATACATTATTACAAATTGATCCTCGTAAACGACCAACAATTCAAACATTAGTTGAAAATATTGAAGATTTAGCTATTGGAAATGATATTGGTCTTAATGAACCATTAACTTTTCTTTTTAATACTAATGAAACAACGAATTCAACAAATCCAACTGCTTCTGCACCAGGCGGAAATCCATCAGCAGGTAAAAAGAAAACTGTTGTTTTTTTGAATAAAAGAAAATAAATTATTTATTTAGCTTCAGCAAGAGCATCCACCGTCGGAAATAATCCGTCATCAAATGCTGGTGTTAGTAGTTATATTCCATCATCAATAAAAGGTTTAAATACATCAGGAAAATCATGGATGAAAAGTATTATTGATACATCATCAAAAGTTATTAATGAAGGTGTTCAACAAGTCAAACAGTAAAATTTTTTTTTCTATTGATATTTGTGTTTTTGAAAATAATTTTTCAAGAACTTTGGCAACAAACGTTCCAACAAATATTCCAGCTGGAAGTTCATCAGGTGTTGCTCATCATCAACATAATCATCATTTTGAAGTTGATCTTAGTTATATTACGTCGAAATTAATCGGTACGATTTAATGTATTGTTTAAGAGTTTTAGTTAATTATCTATCTTGGATGATTTGTTTTCATTTCAAGAAATTAATTTTGATAAGTTATAAAAATAACTATCATCAAATAGTCATACGAAATGAAGACGAAAATTTTTTTTTGTTCTTCATGGATGAGTTCAATTTAATGGTTAAACTTTTCTTTGCTTTGTTTTTCAGTATTGAACATATTTGATTAAATAAATCAATGTTAATTAAAATGAATAGTTCAATTATTCATTATTGAATCGATTCATTTAATTTAATTCATACCATATTCGCCTATAATTGATCATGATGTATTTGATTTCTGTCAAGATACACTGAAAAAATTCATATTTTTCATTATTTTCAAATTATTATAAAGTTCGAGTTATAAATTTTGCTTTTATTTCGATAGATAAATACATAAGGTCCTGAAGTCTGTGATTTGACCGATCGGTTCGATAGTTTTTCAACCAGAAAACAGTAGGAACTTGGGAAGTGGAATATGATGATTGTATCGAGTGAAATATTGAAAACCCATATATGAAATATTTTCTTTCAAATTTGTACCTTTTTCTAGCCAGAACCTAATGTATCTCATTCATTTATTTGGGTAAGTACAATACTGGTCAAAAATATAAGATTAACGTATTTTTCAGTTTTTTTTTCTATGATACTAAGTATTCAACAGAAGTTTGAATAGTCAATGAAGTTCTCGTTCAAAGACATTCCGTGCCGAACTTTGATAGATGACCGATGGAAGAAAAGTTTCTGAAAAACTCAAAAAGATAGTTTTCAGATTGTACAAGATTATATGAAATACATTTAATAGAGAACTTCATTGGTTATTTAAATTCCAATATTGTTTTTGGTTAAATGCTTGGTATAATAGAAAAAAAATACGTTAGTCTTATATTTTTCTTACCAGTACTATAGAAACTATATCTGAAAAAAAAGTTAATCTTAAAATTTATGAAGTTAATTTTTCTCTATTGATAATTCTAAAAATAAATTTCAAACTGAAATTAAATAGAAAAATTATTGATAAAAATCGATTTTGTTTTTAGTAATGGCTACACCACGGGATAATCCATCTGAATTATCAGGTCGTCAGTCAGCAGAATTAATTCGTGATTTACTCGATACAAAACATCCTCAATCGTATATGTTATTTTCACTTGATCAACATCAACGTGGTCATCATTCATATAGAAAAGAATTATTTCATAATCGAGTTTGTTTATTATTATTTAATAGATTTTTTTTCAATCATATTTAATTTAGGTTATTGATTTACCATTATGTGATGAAAAACATTCTCCACGTTTAGTTGATTTACTATGTTTTTGTCAAAACGTTAGTTCGTTCTTACTTGAATCACCATCAAATACAGCCGTACTTCATTGTTCTGTAAGTCTTGTATGATTTCGTTTTTGTTTTAATTTTATTTTTATTTAAATAAATTAAAAAAATAAGGATGGAAGAAATCAAATAGCCTATGGAACATGTGCATTAATTGCATATCATGGAATATTTCAACAAATTGATCATATCGTTCGATATTATGAATCACGTCGATGTGCACATCCATGTTTAACATTATCACAAAAAAGGTTTGATTGTTTTTTTCTTTTCTAATTAAATTTTTTGGAGAAAACCAATTATAAAAAATCTTTAATAGATATATTCAATATTTCTGTGATTTATCGTGTGGTATTATTGAAAAACCACATTTTACGGAATTAATACTTAAAACAATAAATTTATCTCCAGTACCATTATTTAATCGAGAAAGGTTTTAATTAAAAATTATTTTTATATTTTATTTATTAAATATTTTTCTTTTAGAAATGGTTGTCGACCATATGTTGATGTTTTTAATCATGATCAAAAAAAAATATTTTCAACATATCAAGAACCAAATAAACTTCGGTTAATATTTCGTTTTTTAATTAATTTTTTAAATTTTAATGAATTTTCTTTTAGAATATTTTGTGCAACGGATGGTGTTTGTTTAATTCCATTGAATATTCCATTTAATGGTGATCTTACAATTCATGTATCACATGCACCTGTTGGATTATCACTTCAAGCACATGTAGGATTCTTTTTTTCTTTTACAAAAATATTTTTTTTTCAATAATTACTGAATCTTTGCAACTTTGTTTTTTTTTTAATAAGAGATAAACATTGATGATGCATGCCTATTAAATTATAAATTGAAATAGATCTTGTTAGCATTATTGAGTTTTTCTTATTAATAGGATTGAGAAATCTACTAAACGTTTATTTTAATGAATATAATTGTTTTAGGATGGCGGTATACGTATATGCGAATTGACAATAAATTCAAATTTTTGCACATTAAATCATTCAGAATTGTCTTATTCAAGGTATTTAAAAAACAAAATAATAAAAAAATTCATATTTTTTTCTAAATAAATAATATTTCTAAAGATATGAATTGGATGGTATTGATCAAACTGAAAAATATCCACCATCATTTCGTCTAACATTGGATACAATATCTTCAAAAAAAACTTCATTAAACGATCAAGAAAGCATTTTAAAACAATTAGATAATACATTTAAAAAACCACAATGTTTATTCAAAGATGAAACCGAATTTCGACATACTCTTGATGAATATGGTAAAAAAAATAAAGATTCTTTTTTGTTTTTCTTTTCTTGAAAACATAATTTTTTTAAAACATAATAGAAAAACGTTTTAAAATATCAATCGGTACGATTTCTGTTGTTTAAATTGATGTTGTTTTTATTTAATATGAAAATAAAATCTAAATAATTTCTTTTCTTGTCTATAATTAGGCGATGGACATCAATATCATGGAACTTACACAAATGAATCCCCATCACCTATTCGTTCAACTAAACTCAATGTTGAACAATCAACATCCAATGTTAGTAATCCATCTTCACCTCAACCAACTCGTCATTCATCTTCAACACCTCAATCAGTATCAAGTTCATTTTCAAATCCATTTCAAGAACAACAAATTCTATCGAATCCTCCATTACAAGAAGAATCACAAACTAAAAATGATATAGTTGTTGGTACTCTTCTTGATATAACTGGTGATGATACACATCATTCTCAACCTCATCCAATAACAATAACAAATACAGAAAATGATTTATTTAATTTACATATTGATACTCAAACACATTATTCTACACCAATAATAAAAACAACAGATTTACTTGATGTTGATTTTAATTCAATGTCATTAGATAAACCAATATTACATCGAAATGCATCGGAAGTTATTTTACCACCACCTATTCAAGCAACAACTATTCTTAAAACCGAAAATAAATCTTCATCAAATCAAAATATTAGTCGTATAGATCCATTTAAAGATTTACTTTCATCATCAATGACACAGAAAACATCAAGTAATGATACTCTTGCTGCAAAAAAAGCAGCAGGTAAGAATACTTCTTGTATAGATGTCGCACACTTACAATGCTTATAGTCATTCACCGTTTTGTTTCTCTCTCTGTCGTTTCAATATATAAGAAAATATTAGACAGAATTGATCGTCCCACTTCGGTGGGACATATAATAAAATTGGAACGATACAGAGAAGATTAGCATGGCCCCTGCGCAAGGATGACACGCAAAATCGTGAAGCGTTCCATATTTTTTTTTGTGTATCTTTTTAGCTACACCTAAATTACCCAGTACACCACCAACATCAACAACATCAATTCCGAATTATTATATTAATCCAACAAGTAAACCCGTAACTCCGCCAACACAACCAAAACAACAACAACAACCAAGTGAGCAATAGTTTTTATTTATTGACGATGATAATCTGAAATGCATATTTAGTTTCGCAGTAGAAAGAATCAATCATAAAAGATAACTTGCTAAGAAATTATTCTCTTTGAATACTATGAACAAGTCTATTAGTCTAATCTTAAAAAACAAACTTTTATTTTTCTTAACACAGTCAAAACTAACTCATATGTTCTATTATATAAGAAATACTTTTACTGTTGATTTATATAAATTTATATTACATGAGCGAACAATTTTAGTAATCTAAATCTGAGAACTTCATAATATAATCGTGATAAGAAATTTTATCACATGTTGTTTGAGTAGAAATGAAAAAAAAATAAAATAAAAAAAGAAACTTAATATCTACAGAGTGAACAAAATAATAATAGAAAAAAACATTTCAGGTTCAAAATATAACCAATACAAATAGATAGACAATGAGAAATAAAACATGTTTTCTTTTTATTACTATTTCTTAAACTTTTCTTATTAACAAATAAATACTATTTTATCAATTTGACTTGAGAATAGGCGTGTTCATCTTTGAGTGAACGTCAATCTAGTTTTGTGTTAAATTATCTTTCCACCGAACCAGTAATCACTAGTATGACATTTACTCTTATGACTACTATTCATAATAATAGAAAATCACGACGAACTTCACTAATAGATTAGAACTTGATTGAATCACGATTCATAATGGAACTTCCGCGTTCTACAGGACTCCACTATTAGCCTACATATTCTGTGGCACATCCTAGTCTAGGTACTATTACCTGTAATATTTGATCGAACTGTTTACATGTTTATTTTATTTCATTCTATTTAATGAATAAATGATCCGTTTTAAAATTCAATCATAGATGATGAACATGAAATTCGTCTATCGATTTATTCCTAATCAGATTGATAAATATGAACAAGCGATTGTTCATGTTCGATAAAAAAAAACATTCATAAAGTCATCATTTTGTTACTTTATAGTGTGTTTTGTTATACACTGAAGCATCTATTATCATGTAAGTACATAGTACAATAAGCAGATGAGAAGTGAACAGAAATTATCTCGGATCATATCACGAAAACAAAAATGACTAACGACAATCACTGGTGATAACTAAATCGGAAAAAAATAAATAAAATTAGAGAATAGAAAGCAGCTAATACATTAACATTTTCCTCCAACTAGTTTAATCAATAGTTCTGATATTTGAACATTAACAATAATATTTTATTTGTAGATCTAGCAAAGCCAAATCCAAGTTCATCTCGTCCTCAATCAACTCCATTTGATTTTGATATATTAGTTCGTGAACAATCTGGAATGTCGGATTGGGGTTCGAAAGCACGGCAAGGTACAGAAGCTATCGGTGATATTCGTAAAGCTGAATTAGCTAAAGAACTTGATCCAAGTGTTCTTAAAGTATGTTTTATTTATTCGGTTTTTTTTAAAATTTTGATTTAAATAAATAAAATAGGTTCGAGAATGGACCGAAGGAAAAAAGAGAAATATTCGAGCATTATTATGTTCATTATCAACTGTCACATGGCCTGAATGTACTTGGGGAGGATGTCAAATGCATGAATTAGTTACACCAGATCAAGTTAAAAAAGCTTATAGAAAAGCAGTTCTTTATATTCATCCGGATAAAGTAAGAACAAAATTTTTTTTTTCTGGCTTTTTTTATCATTTCAAAATAACAATTTTTATTTTTTTAAAGCTTCGTGATGATCCAAACGAAGAACTAGCAAAATTAATATTTGTGGAACTTAATGAAGCTTGGTCTCAATTTGAACGAGAATCAAGTTAATTATTTAAACATTCCTTCAATATTGTTTTTTTTTGTTCTTTTATTTTATGGCTTGTGCAATTCATGTGTATTCATAGTGTCACCTTGTTTTAATAGAGAAAAAAAAGCACAAAAATAAATTTCACCTTCTTTTAATTCTCAATATTTTTACCAGCTAACTGTGTTCGTTTGTGTATAATTATATATTTCCATTAATCTTTTGTTTCCGTCTTTTTTTCTTTTTGTGTTAACATATTAAAAACAAAATAAATCTATTGACTATGATAAACAAACTTTATTGTTCACTTTTGAAGATATGAACTATTTCGTTCGTCAAAGATGTGATTTCACAAAATAAGAATGCTTATTTATCTGGACTTGAGTATTTATTTCAGGTATTTTTTTTTATGCAACAAATATATTTTAAGTTACTTTCAAAAACTCAGTCCTATAAATATTAGTTCAGTCGAATTATTAGTGAAAAACCAATATTACCGACATGACACAAAAAATAACAAAAGTATTCAATGTGTGTCTTTCCATTTACAAATCGTGCAAGTTTAAAGAGTAGTTTTGGAAATTGAGTAGAAGACTTCAGGCTATATAATCTCTATGCAAAAGTTTTTCTGTACATGCTTAAGTTTTTCAAAAAGTTAAGCATATTCATTAGTAGCGACGTGAGCAAGTATGAATATAGAAACGAAAAACCCTCTTGCAAATTTTAGCAGTCCTTCGTAAGGATAAAGTGTTATTCTGTGAAATATAGTTTATGACATGGAGACTATATTGAAATTCTTGGACCTTTATAACATAGTCAGAGAGTTATTCGCTAATTAAATTTTCATTTGCAAGGGAAAAAGTGCAGGCTTGGTGATTATTTGAAATTAGACTGGAAAATTAAAGTGATCAATTTTACTTTTTCAAATTTTTTTTCCGGCTTGTTCTTACATATATTAACGAAAAACCGCTATAGACAAAAATTCTTTAAGGTTATTTTGACGTTTCTTTCAAAAGGTGACACTCTATATCAACTTTTTTCATGACAAAAATAAAAAGCAAATTCAGAGAAGAACAGATACATACTCTCTATTTGATGTAATTTTCATCAATTCTCTAATTGATTTATTATTAATCATCAATATTAAAAACGAAAAAGTGATAATTAGTTGATAACTTATTTTAAAAAAACCTCGAACTCACATGATATTTCGTGTATCAATTTGAGGTAGATTGTTAAAGGTTCAAAATTAGAAATCCTAGCTGATAAAACTTTTTCTAAATTCTGATCCATAGAACGCAATACGCCACTCATACCTACGACACTAGCAATGAGAATGAGGACGACATTTATGACCAGAAAGGATTTTACTAGGGCTACGAGAAGAAAGTTGTCTCAATTGGAATTCTCTAGGTCGGGATCGAAACCAAAGAAAACTTAGTCTCGTACATCTTTGCTTTTAACATTTAACCATCAGACTAATATTAATGAGATGTGAGATTTCTTTGTAAATAAGAATTCTTATCGAGATATATATGGAAAAGATTTTCTCTTGAATTAATCGTAATTATTTTCATTTTTTATCATAATTGCTATTTGAATAATTGGTTTAGTTAATTTAAGACTCAAACTATGACATTAAACTCGTCTTTATCTGTTGTGGATCGTATTCAAAAATTAATACATGAATATATAGTTGTAATTTTTTCGAAATCTTATTGCCATTATTGTCAGAAACAATATATTTTCATAATATCATTAGGCATATATCGACACTGAAAAGTATCCAACTGGATGAACATCTACAATGACTTCAAAAATTATTCACCCTGTAGAGAATTTTGCTCTCGCAGGCAAAAGTGATTGCTTGTTTTCGAAGGAGAGAATCTCTGAAAAATCAAAAACAAAGTTTTTTAACTTCTAGGATTTTCAAATAAAGTTCTTTATGAGTTATGTAGAATGATAGAGTAAACTATTTCCTACGAAATGAAACATCTTCGAGCTTTCTACGCTGTTTTCTGACCGAGATGCATCAATCTTATGGAAGGTACAAAAATCTTATTTCCATACAAAATAACAGAATAGAAAACGTCTTTTGTTATTGAAAACAAACTTGGGTAAATAATTTTGCGAGCCACTGTAGATCGTATAAACTTTTCAAAGAAACTTTCAATATTTTCCTATTTATCAAGTGATTGTAAAATAGATTATTTTATTCCTTTATGATTCAACATTTTAATGGATCTTATTCATTTTCTATGACAATGTTTTTAATTATACAGTCCATGTACTGCTTTTACGATCATCATAATTCCATGTTTCATCATTTTGATGCCTGCATCGTATCCATAAAAAACCGATTATAGCTAATGCGATCACACTAATGAATACTAACATAATCGTACTGCTTCTAAAATACAAAAAAAAAAACAAAAATAGTCATGCAATATTATCCTTTAGTTTTGTTTTTCTTTGATTAGGTCAAATTTCTTTAAGATTTTTATAGAAATCGATGATTTTGATATCATGTCAATCGAAAATATACCCAAAGTTCAAATATATCTTCTATTATTAAAATATAGATAATTTAGCTTATCGTACGGAGACATTGATGTTGAAGATTTTTCTGTACTTTCATTATTATTATCGTCGGTATTGAACGACAATGTCGTAAGACGACGCGGAAAACTATTGTCAACGGCCATTTTTCTTTGAAGACAAATTGATGATAATTGTTCGTCAGGACAATAATATGGTGAAATACCACAATGAGGTGGTTGACAATTTGGATTAATTGTTGGCTGAGGCGGTGCTATTATATATGATAATTATGCTTACTATTAGGTAGAATGCTTACGAGGTGGTTTTCTATCAAGAACTTTATTGACTATAGGTGCAACCTGATCCACTACCCCTTCCACAAAAGCTAATATGGTTGTAATAACATTCATAATTGCTTTCATATCCACCATTATAATTAACTTGTGTATCGTAAAAAAAAGGAACGTTCGAAAATTAACAAAACAACCGATATTTCAAGAAAAAAAAAGAAAAAAAATCAATTGAATGTAAAGAGTTCATGGCGCTGAGTTTTAATTTAGACTGTAACTACAATAGTTTAATAGTCATTATGACTCGTGCATTTAAACTATATAACATTAATTTAATTCAACGATATGCTTGTATAGTAGAAGTCGAGTATTATATTTATATGTACAATTTTTTTAATACGGTCAAGTCTTGAGCATAAAATATAATAATAATAATAATAAACAAACTTCAGAGCTAAGAAAAAAAATGACGGAACAAAAGAGACAAAATAATAATATTGTTATAAAGGACCTTGCCGGATCTCTTGGCAGATGCAGAATTGAGAAACCAAATATACCATATTGTAGAGAAATCAACGACTATGCGCCCTAAACATGGTCAGTTATTTATTATTGTGCTTGTTGTATCAATCGAAAGCAATTGTAACAAGATTTTCTTATTTACAGATTTCTAAGGCTTTTTAACGGACTACGAGTTCATATACTTAACATCAACGATAGAAAAAACTACAACTTTTCAATGATTTACCACTGGCTTTTGCTAATCATAAGTCTCGGTAACTTCGATAGTGTCAACCGTAGATGTAACCAAATGGCAAACTTTCTCAGAAACAGTCCACGATGCAGCACTATAAAGCACACTATTTAAAAGTTGAAGTGTTAATATGATTGAAAGGAAGACTCACAGCCATCCAATCAATGGGCAAATTAAGCAATTGTAAAAAAAATCAATTATTAATGAAAAGTTATCCTTGGTAAATGAATAATAATTGGACTTGAGCAAAAGAAAAATTTATTTATAATTGATATTAAAATTCGACTTTTTCAAGATGAGAACAAATCAGTTGAAATGCGCATTAGTTAAGAAAAATTAAATGAATAATATTTTAATTTATTTCTCTGTTGATGTCTTCTCTTTATTTCATTTAGATAATAAAGAAATAGTTATTATTTACTATAGGCGACAAATGTCATTTAAAGAGACATGTTTTATCCAAAAACAAACACTTTTCATTATGAAGATCATCGAAATAAACCTATTGACATATACACAAGGTATTAAAAATAAAATATGACCTTTTCATGAAAGGCATATATGAAATTTTTCAAGGTGCCTAGCACGTTATAGTTATCAGTCGAGGTTTTTTTCTTTCTCGAATTCTCTATCTAAAGTCCATATTTAGTGGCGCGATGATATCAAGAACATTACATCGTCTGATGTCCATATAAAGTTAAATTCGAAAGTTATAAATAATCTATGATGTTAGCAATAATTAATTATCGTTAGTACTAATGATTTGATATTTTTGTTTTTGTTAAGTAATAGAACTCTATGGGGTACTGCTAGTAATACCATTTGATATGGTTATGCAGATAAAACCAAGAGTGGCAAATATCAAAGATATGTACATAATGAAACAAAATTCGCAAACTCTAGTTAATATTTATCGTATTTACACAAGATATTTACTGAAACACAATATTGTTTCCCAACGATTTCGCACTGTGAACACATTTTAATTCAGAAGTATATTTATTCATAATAACCAGAGTAAGATTATATGTAAATGCAACGAAGACTTTCAGTTATAATAGTAAATTTTAATAAATTCGATAGGTACCAAGAGATTTTGTTATATGTGCAATGGCAAAAACTTAAAACCGAAATTTGAAATGCTTCGCATCATTCTCGTACTCTGCGCTACGCTCAGATGCCATCTAGTTTTGAAATGAGTTCAGAATATTTTCAGTAACTTATTTTGCATTGACATGTTTTTACCAAATATCATTTGTAATTTTTGTTTTACAATCTTAGACAACTCAAATTGATTCATTTAATATAATTATTCTAATTTTAATAATCATAAATATAGACACTTCATTTAGAATAAACAAAATAAACTTGTAAGCAATGCCGACAAGTACTATTATCTTGCTCTTTTATCTACGTAAAATAAAAAAACTGAAACATAATAATACAAAGTACACACTTCTATTGACATTAACATATTGGAAAGAAGAAAATGAAAACAAAAAAAGAAAAGATCAGAGTAAATTAGGTCATAGAGCATCAGATGAAAGATTGTGAATCCATGATCAAGGCTAGAAAAAAATGATATTGATATGAACTTTCTTATTGAATTAACTTAGAATTTATTGCGCAAAAGTCTTTATGCAATTGATCTCGAACCTTCGAACGCAATTTTTTGCTGGCTGACAATGATTAAGATTAAAATTCCGATTGCATTCTTAGCTCTATGTTGTGACATACAAAATGCAGGCGTATGAAAAAGAAGATATTATCACGTGATTTGACACGATCAGGTGAAGTTGTAATCAGACTAAGAAGAAGAAAAGCATTTTGAACTATTTCTTCTGGTGGTCGACAGTGAGTAAATTTCGTTGTCTTTGCATAATTATTGTTGTCTTGTTTATAGGCTATACGTCGTAAACAACTTTGTCCTTTAAATTCTTTTAGAGTAACCAGTGTAAGTGTGTTTTTATAATACGTAACAACAAAGATAGCTGTTAATTTTGGACTGATAAATGTGATAATACAAATTGCTCATCACAAACTACGAGAAACGGTATGACGAATTCTTCTTTTATTAAAAAATAAAGTAATATTAGTTGATTTTAGATGATGAAGATCAATTGCTATTATTTTCAGAAGATATTTCAAATGAACCCATGGTGTTTTCTTCTACATTAAATGAACTTTCATCAGATNCTGTTACGGGCCTGCCCTCACATATTATCATGTCATTCCTTTTCTTCTTCTATCTAGTCACCCGCCACATCTATCGTCATATATATAAATGTATAAATATATATGTTGTCTTCTCAACGGAGGAGATATATACATATATATGTGTATGTATACAACATCTTTGTTTTTTTGTGTTGTTGTTCAGTTATCGATTTCCAATAAACAAGAAGGGAGAATATCTAGACCCTAATATTGGTGCCGTGACCGATTATTTTTATTATTAATTATAATAAAAATCTTACCAGAGGACATTCCTAATCAGGAGTGACCTGAACAAATTAAAATTTGGAAATTAATTAAAGGAAATTCATTTTGAATTACCTGCCACAGAAAAAAAGAAGATAAATTATTAAATTATCAACAACATGCAAGACTCAGCAATAATGATATGTTATCGTGAATGTTTATCAAATCTAGACAAATTCAACGGTGGTGAAGAATATAAAATTTTACAGTTTATCAACAATATCGAAAGAATCGGGAAAATGATCGATGCAAATGATAATATTTTATACTGTATGTGTACGGCAAAATTAGATGGTGAAGCAAAACGTTGGTACGAAGATAACATATCATTAATTCAATGGGAACAATTAAAATCGTCATTATTAGAAAGATTTACAACATCGGATTCATCATCGAAAATATTTGAACAATTAAAAGAACGAAAACAAAAATTAAATGAAAAGATTACATCGTATCATGATGCAGTTATTAAATTATGCCGAGAATATGATTCATCCATGTCACAGAAAATGATGATATCATGGTTACAGAATGGAATTAAAGATTCATTAAAAACACAAATTAAACGACAAATGAAATTATTACCTGAATCAGCACGAACAACTCAAGCATTCTTAAAAATTGCAAAGGATGAACAGGAATTACAGGAAGAAGATTCATCCGAACAAGAACCACATAATTTGCCAACTAATTATTCACAACGGAATCAAGAAGCAATTGTTAAATCTTATTCATTTACACAACATGATTCTCAGCGTCGTTCATGTTCTGTATGTCAACGTATTAATCATCGAACAATTGATTGTTATTATAAAAAACCATATGGATGTTATAAATGTGGACAGTCAGATCATCATATACGTGATTGTTCACAGGGTTTTGTACTAACTGGAACCTGTGATGGTGGTCATTCCAGTAATAAACAACAAAATCCATCAACAACTAATTATGCATCATCAACATTACGAACTCCTATTTATATAAATGTTCAAGTAAATAATAAACAACATCCAGCCATTGTCGATACTGGATCTGCAGTCACCATTATTAATCAACAATTATTAAAAAAGATTTATCACACGGAATTCGTTTACAAGAAGAAATTACACAAATCAGCTAATTGTACGCCTATTAATATTATTGGTGAAATTCAACTTGAAGTTAAAATACAAGGACATAAAACTTTAATTATAGCGGATGTTGCGACGAATCTTATTACTGATCTATTACTTGGAAGCGACTGGATTATACAAAACAATGTTATTATTGATTCATTACAACGGCATATTACTCTTATTGATAAGAACCGCCGCGAATTAGCAACAGCTCCATTCGTTCAACCTTCAAATCTTCAATTTAGCGCAACTAATCGTCAACGAAAACTATCAAAGAATACTCAACTCGGACATATTTCATATCAGACTGAATTAAATAATCATCTTATTTTACCGGTGTTATCAGAAGATGCAAATTATCAACCAACACGTTTTAAATCATTTATTTATAAGAGGAACAGCACTCGCAAGAGTGGTTTCTGTGATTCGTTACTTCGTGAAAAGAGGAAGGTCCGATTTACGGACTTTACCTGTGAAACAGAACGCCGTGAAGAACAACAACATCACTGTTATGTTTGCCAAGAACAACTTTTATCACGTAATAATTTACAACAGCATTTGCATCAGAAATGTTATCCATCAGAAGCATCATTAGAAAATGATACTATAAATATTTTAGATGAACAAACATTGAATTATAATGACAGAGAAGGGGCTCATGTACGAGATGAACTTTCAAATGAAATTGAAAACATGTCTGATGATGACATTCAACAAGATACAATGAACAATCAACATCAACAATGTATAAATCATAAACCATTAACAAGAAGTCAACGTCAAAACCGCAAACATCGAGCTAAAAGATATCGATATGAAATCATTCGAAAAATTTATCATAAATTTACCATTACAGATATTAAAAAAATTTTAATATTTATGAATATTCCTTACGTGAACATCAATGTCGTCGGAAGCACGTTATTCTTGGGTATAAAGAACGCGCAAATACAAAACAACGTTGACCAAACATTACACAATGGCATCTTCACGGAAAAACACTATTATAATATGCGCAAGAAATTACGTCCAGATAAATAAAGACATTTTTTTTATAGCTCAAACTTTTCTTTAATCTTCGTTTTTTTCTTTTCTTTCGTCTTCTTTTGTTTCTTGATAAACAGTCAGATTTATTAGTTGGAAAATCTATTATTTTTTTTCTCCTTTGCTTGTTCGTTGTTGTTGTGTTTTTTGATGAACGATAAAAAGCGTATCGTCATATTTTTTGTTAGCACGTTTGTTTGTTTTTCTGAGCCATGTGTGCGGACACACATCTTCTCAAGGGGGGTCGACTGTTACGGGCCTGCCCTCACATATTATCATGTCATTCCTTTTCTTCTTCTATCTAGTCACCCGCCACATCTATCGTCATATATATAAATGTATAAATATATATGTTGTCTTCTCAACGGAGGAGATATATACATATATATGTGTATGTATACAACATCTTTGTTTTTTGTGTTGTTGTTCAGTTATCGATTTCCAATAAACAAGAAGGGAGAATATCTAGACCCTAATAGGTGCGTTTGTGGATATGGGTACGTATGGCTCTGAGCAAGAATATCGTAGCCAGTGTGAGTGAACGTAGGGTTTAGACTATACCAAAACCCTTGTTAACAGTGTTAGACTCTGGTATACCCTGGTAGAGCCTGATAGACTTCGGTAGATTCTTTAAATAAATCTCTTATATAAAATATAAATACTTTGAATTATTTTGTAACTTGTTTCCATCATTAACTCTCAGTCTTGATTTCATCTGCACCTGACCTCCTCTGAAAAATCTCATAGAGAAGATCATGCATATACTTAATGCGTGTACATCACGAAAACAACAACAAATTCCTTGTATGAAACTGATAGAAGTTTTGGAAAACGTGTTTCACATCGAGACACAGTCAGAAATCAATAAGTTACTAGTTAAAAACTCTAGTCTTCCAGTTTAGAGAAATGTTTAGATCTATTTTTGTCGAAGATTTATTAAACTTAACTTTCCGGTATAACAATCCCTTGTAGCATTTTAACTGGAAGAATGATGAGTTTTGAGTCTATTGAAAAATATTTTTATTTCAAGTTTGATTCTATAACAGTAATAGATCAGTTTCAGATTGTTAATATGTTACCATTTGTGAAATCCAAGATCATAGTCATAAATAAGAACAAACTATGGTAAGATCGTATACGGATGCCATTGTAGTGTTTGTATATTCGAACGATTTTCTGGTTTATGCTGTAATGTTTTTACCAGCAGATCCTGTACTAATGGATCCTGTATCGGACAATGGCCATATGGTGGTTCCCAACTACGATTATCTGGATTCCAATTCGGTTGCTTACCATATGTCATGTAATACAAGATAGCACCAATTGACCATATATCAACTTGAGTATCAAATCGTCCTCGTAATAACATAGCTTCTGGTGCACTAGAAATGAACGAGACAGATGCAGTTATCGAAAAATTCATAAATGGTACAAGGAAAATCTGTATTTAAAAAATGCATGAAAAATTACTAGATCAACAAATGCAAAAACAAAGGCTTTTCTATGGTTTTTGGCGAAACTTAGATCAAAAGCTTTTGATTGTCGACAAAATATTTTTCAAAAACAACTAAAATATATGTCTGATTTCTAAATACTCCTAGAAACTAATGCCTCATCAATCACAACGGCATAAATAATGCTTTTATTGGACGCTAATCAAGCATTGTTTTGTAACATAATATTTTCTTCTCATGATGGATGTTTGGAAATTTCATCGAGTGTCCCCAAATGAGAGCGAGTTGAAAGAGTTTTTTCAATTCGACCTTGTTTTAATTACCTCTCACTTCCTTCTAGTGAACTCGTTGTATAAACATATAATCGTTTTTTTTGCCTACTAGCAGAGTTTCCGATGAAGCTCAACTGAAAACTATAGAAAAATAGAAGATTTTCTCTAATCAAATGCATAATACAAAAGTATTTTAACTTAATTATATTACCTATAATTTGGTGTTCCACCACCTCCAACTCTAAAAGATTCAAAAAAAAAAGATCAAATGTCTGATCACCGGTCATCAATAGATTAGTTTTTCTTTCTTACCCAGATCCATACTTTGATATACCAAGATCACAAACTTTCAAAATATTACCGACACGAATAATATTTCCCGGTTTCAAATCCATATGTGCTATATTACTACGTTGTAGTGCTGCAACAATTTCTACCAATTGTTTCCATATAAGTCGTCGACAATATGGTGATATATATTCATTTGAATAGCTAATACCACACATCTTTACATATTGCTTATGTAACTTTTCTATCATATCAGTCAGACTTTCGTCTCCCTTTTCCATGATAATGTAAACTAGAACATGTAGAGTGGAGGTAGCTTTAACATCGGCGACTACAATCTACGATACTTGTATCAATCAGATCATAGCCTTCTTCTCAACAGAAATGAACTCTACTGAATAAAGACGTGTAAAAATTATCTATCTTCCCTTAAAATGTCGCGATGTATGTCATTTTGAGGAAAAAATTCAGCTGTTTCTAATCGTCTATGAAGTATTTCTAGGAAAGTTTTGAATCTTCTCTACAAACGCAGGAAAAGTCAGAAGAATTTGTGCAAAGATTTGCAGAAGACGCCTATAAACGTCCGAATTATTTTCACAACTAATTAGTATATATGGGCACAGTTATAAGCAAAAAATAGAGCGCTCTTGCATGTTTTATAAATACAATTTAAAAGAGAGTTGTTTCTCTTACCATATGGTCGAATGTGCCACTGACTATCAAGACCAACTTCATGCACTTGGACAACATGATTTTCTTTTTCATTGACAGTCAGATGGTATAACTTCTCAACCTCATTGAGACAGGCTTGGAAACGTGGGTCTTCTTGTACCATCGAAGCTTCAGGTATACCACGTAAATCGGTTACTTTCATAGCAACATTGTTACCATCAGGATCAATGGCTTCATAGACAGCACCTGTATTCAGAAGAAATTGCGATTACTCTATTCTTAATTACATTCTATTTTGAAATGTATTTATACATACTGAAACCTCCTGTTCCAAGTCGCTCTTTGAAGAAATACGATCTATTTTGTTTTGTATATATTCCATTAATTTTAATTCGTCTATTTTTTAGATTCAATTGATTTGTATGAAGTAGCAAGTCCTTCGTTTCTACATTACAAAATAAGGTATATGACAATCAGAACTTTTTATTCTCGATAGAAATCACATACTGTTATACAACCAATGAAGCATTTCTACTTATTCAATGAAAGAATATTGTTACGATATCTGAGCTTTGATGCTCGCAAGTGATGAATAAACTCTGAAAGCTTCAAAAAGTAAATTAAAGAAATTATAAGAGAAAAATACGTTTATTACCTTATTGTAAAGAGCTTGATGAATGCAATGCTTATTGGATCGCGATGATTATTTCTTTTTTTGGCTTTTTCACACTACAAGTAGTCAAAATCGTACATAAAACACACGATTTTATACCTGAACGACGAGAGAACACTGCAGGAGCGTAGAAGTCAAATTCAATTTCTGTGGACACTGGAACAGAACAATTAAAACGTCAATGAAAAGGAGGATATCAAGATAAGGTAATACTTATATTGCAGTTGCATTTGAATATCAGCCTTAAAGTATGACATTGATTCATGTCAATCATAAATTCTCGTCAATTAAATAAAGAATCGATGTGCAATTAGATAATAAAAAGAAAGGAAATTGAAATCTCAGGACTCAGACATGATACCCCAATGTGAACGAATAATTAAAAAATGTAAAAAGACGAAATGAATAAAAAACATACACATCAAGTTATTGAAAAGTGAAAACTTATTTACTATGTTACATTGAAAAAAAATGAAAAATCTTTGACCTTTGATGCAAGGTGTAGACTACTATACACTACATCAAGTTTTATATTAAAAATTATATGTGTTGAACAACGAATTTGGTAGGCGTGCTTGTAACCTAATAATGCACGCGTATATTTCTGATTTTGTTTTCTGGTTGAAAAGTTTCACGATACATTGATGAAGAGCAAGTGTTCTTAACAACGACGTGAAAAATGTGACTTCTTTCTTCACTCTAAGTGCAAGGTTTCGTAAGAAGTTTCTTCTCGCGAACTGCATTAAAGGTTTCACGCTAAACTGTTTCAAGAAGCTTTTAAAAAGTTTTAGTTGACAGAGTTTTGTGGTGAACCTTATCTACTAAAGAGGGAACATCCCTAAGTGTGACTCTCAGTTTTGAATAAGATATATATCAGTATATAAAGCTCGGCGAGTTGATTCTCTTGGTATGTTTCATTTTTCCCCATAGAACTTCAAACGAGAAAAAGTGATCGATTTTACTGGTGAATTTCTTCACTTTGGAGAAGTTTCGAGACATCTGTTAGAAATTTGGGACTTCAAAGTTGCTTAAAGTTTCCATGATCATGTTAAAATACAGACAATGGCGCATATGATAGTCTTTTTTTTAATACAATTTAAAAAATAGGAGAACACTATATTCTCCTGAAACTCAATTCCATCATCGTTATGAACATTAATTTTAGAATTATTACACTTGCTGATATTTTAGCGGTCCTGAAAGAAAACTTTGTTGTTTATCTGGAAGTAGAAGCTTAAACTGGGCTTAAAATATTATAAAAATAGACTATTACATTTGCCATTGACTATATTTTAACATGACCATTGAAACTTTAAGGAACTTTGAAGCTTCAAATTTTTAACAGCTGTCTCGAAACTTATCCAAAGTAAAGAAATTCACCAGTAAAATCGATCAGTTTTTTTTGTTTCAAGTTCTACGGGGGAAAACGAAACAAACCAGGAGAATCAACTCACCGAGCTCTATATACTGATATATATCTCATTCAAAACTGAAACTCACACTTGGTGGATGTTTCCTCGTAAGTAAAAAAACTATCGCTTTCATAAACAGGTTACTATTAGTATTCACGAACTTTCTTATAATTCATTGACAAGACGAAAATTGATTTTTGACGGAAATCAGATTACTACTGAAATAATGAATAATAAATGATGGAGTAGATTATTTTTTCTATCAGTTCAGTAATTCTAATCAATGTTAATCGGATTACTCTGTAAAAAGTGGAGACCTCATTTAAAAAATGAGATTTCTACAACGGTAATCAAAACTAATCTTGATTTTCTTAGGAATTGTTTCAATAGGTATTTCGATAGCCATTGAGTAACAGTTGAGAGCGACAAAGTCAAAAACAGACAGAATGAAAATTGTTTGCTATGAAAGATAGTCTAGAAATCCGAAATAAAATAATAAAGGCTCGTACTTTCACATGTGAATGTGTAACTCATACTTTTTAAATTGACTCAATACTGTTACGTGAAACTGATAATTAATTTATAAAAAAGTTACAAAAAGAAAAAAGAAAAGAAAAGAAATTTAGAAGTTAAAATCAAGTGAGTCTATTTATTGTCAGTCAAATTGTTCGTTGTCTATATGCAATCAAATGATGCAGATGTATACTACAATTTAAATATTCGTTGATAAATTGAACACTTTTTTGATAGCTATTTGTTTACAATCTCATACGAATCTTTCGGTATGAATAATTTAATAATAAAAAAGATATTTTGATTTTGAACGATATACATATATATCGAAACAACAATGCACATTTATAATAATCTCGTGATTTCTGCCAATTAGGGTTTTTTACATCTGTTTATCTTGTTCTTTTCCAATAAATTTTTCCTATCGGGAGAAGCTATTGTTCTTTTATTATTAGTTGTTGCTAGTTCAATTTTTACAGATACACCCAATACATGAGATTTTGTTGTTTCCAGCGTCAATTATATCATTGTTCTTGGATTCATTAATATTAAACTTTTATGAGCAATTTTATTGCATAGAATCTACTGTCTATTGTACATTTTATTTTAGGCAAATAAATTTTTTTGAATATGTACGAATAGTTCATATATAGAAAGGATGACTAGAATAGTGATATCGAAAAATAAGTAGTTTGCTCAGGAAAAAATCTACATGATACTTTTCTTATTTGCTTCGGTCTTTAACGCTTAATACTTTCCGTTTTTTGTATAAATCCAACTGTTCACTTGTATGTAGAATAGATTTTACTATTAATTTATATAAAAATGAAGTCTCTGTGACAAACGATAATGGAGCAATTGTATTCCACGTTGGGCATTGTTTTTCCATGTTATTCATTTTTCCGGGTTCGTGTATACATGTCAAACTTGAAACTTGAATTCAATAATTGAATAGTTGAACTTCAAGTATTCAATTATTCATTTAAGAGAAACAACTGAGGGAATGAACGACTTACACATTAGCACGCACACACATCACAGCACCTGACGTGGATGCCGCGAAGAGACTGATCGAGAAAAGGACTTAGATATTAGCAATACTTGAATACTTGAAACAACTTTTCAATAATTGAATTAAAGTTTCACGTTTGACACTACTGCGGAACTAATGATGATATAGAACTTGTACAATTGCCGAGATCTTAAAGACGATTTTTGTTCTTATAACCATACAGCGATAACTTATTAGCGCGCGAAAATAAATCTATGGGGTTAGTCGGCATTTGACAAGATCTAAATAAGAAAAAGATTTCTATTGATCTTTTATAAAAAATATTTTTTATTTACTCTTCAAGATCTTTAGAAAATATGTATGATGGAAGAATTTTGTCATTATATAGCAAAGTATATACCATAAAACAATGAAACATATAACTGCAACCTATATCATTGCATTCTTGAATAAATACCCTCGGTCGTTGTCGATGAGTAAATGGAACTTTAAAAAATGAATTAAAAATTATTTTTGCTTCCAAGTCGTTCTCAACATATAATAATAGATTAAGACTATAGGTTGCCATTGATTGAAGGCGATCAATACATAATTGTTGTTATTATTCAAACTATTCTATACGAAGATAAAATAAATATCTTTTCAAATTTTTATTCTTTCGAAATGAAAATCAAGAAAACTTATATTAAGAGATCATTTTCGATACTAATAGAAATAATTGATTCTATTCATTTTACAACCTCTTCTATAATGTTATATAAGGTGTCGATGATTCGGAGTTTGAGCAAACATAATTTTTATCTATTTTTGGGTTAGTTGTATTGAGCTGTTAGAGTTAGTATTGTAAACGATTTCTTTTTATCTATTTGGCAGTGTTCACCAAAACACACGATTGAGAAGTCTCCTCATTCTAAGATAATGAATCAATATCCACTA